GGGGGGGGGAGCAATTTCACATCCACAATCGAAAATGACGAGGGAACCCCCCCCCAACTTAAACAACAACAAGAAACTCCACGTGGCCTACAAAGTCAAACATGACATTGACATTCATTTCCGTTCTTCATATGACTAAACAAGCTTGACGTCATGCCAAAAGCAGGTCATCGTTCATCTGCAACCGTGACGGCCGCTTGCTCACCATGCTTCAAAAATCTTTCCATCCAGCTTTTAGCCTACATTCGCTACCACATCATTTTTTATTTTTATTTTTTTCTTGACAGATCATGTGAAAATGAGACACACACACACACACACACACACACACACACACACACACACACACGCACACGCAGGTTCACCGACTAGATACGAACATACGACACTTTATCCAACTTCCTGTTATTGGTTACTTTCACCCCGCACCAAAAAAACTATGATAACATGACAATCCAAATATCCTACTTTCAATTCAACTTTTATACACCCCCCCAAAAAAAAAATCCAAGATGTGGTTTATGGCAACAAATTGAAAAAAAAAATCATTAAACCAACAAATTGAAAAAAAAAATCAATCTCATTTTTAAATAGCTGTTTTCAATTTCAGTCCACTGCCTGAGAGGAAAAAATGTATAGTCAATGTTTGGTCAAATATTTTTTTTGGGGGGGGTAGGGGGGACCAATTTCACATCCACAATCTAAAATGACGAGGGAATCCCCCCCCCCCAACTTAAACAACAAGAAACTCCACGTTGACATTAATTTCCGTTCTTCATATGACTAAACAAGCTTGACGTCATGCCAAAAGCAGGTCATCGTTCATCTGCAACCGTGACGGCCGCTTGCTCACCATGCTTCAAAAATCTTTCCATCCAGCTTTTAGCCTACATTCGCTACCACATAATTTTTTATTTTTATTTTTTTCTTGACAGATCATGTGAAAATGAGTGCTATTTTTGTTCGCTCAATTACTCACTGGGACGTAGAGCGACCAGCGA